GTGTCATATATTCCGCCGATGCGGGAGGACTGACAGTAGGATGTGGGAGAAGTGGCTCGCCGTATTCCTTCTGTCCCGCGGGATCCATCTCCCCGGAGACGTATTGGGCGAAGATAGAGTGTGTCCGGGAGGCGGGAGATGACCTGTGTCCACTCAACAATCGGGGCTACCTATTGACGGGACAGTAGGATGTTGCAGCTCGGGTGGTGTGACGGAGGACTGGCCGAAAAACCCAATTGTCGGGGAGTGGGGTCTGAAGGAGAGTAGGCCAACAGCCTGGCGACCTCTTCAGCCGCGCCCCGCGGGGGCTAGGATGGGACCGGACCCTATCTCGGGCGGGATGTAACCCAGACTTATTCGGGTATCGAAGGTGGGAACGTCTCACGGTCCGCGTTCACTGATTGTGACGCCGGGTGATGCGGAAGGGTGCCAGGGATTCGCTCGTACCCGGGTCTAGTATTTCGACGGTGGTACAGGAGGTGTGAGTGTTGTACCAAATGGAGCACATCACACGGTACCTGGCATCATTTGACTCTTCCGGAGAGGGGCGGACGCGTTACCCCGTCCGCCCCTTCTCGGAAAGTGAGTGTCCGCCACCCTCCAGAGGTCGGCAAACCACCCGAATGACGCGTGGGTCAAGGGTGCCCAGGACTCCTCGTACCCTTTTGTATTCACGTAATACAGGTCCACCAGTCTATGTCGAGATGTCATACCCCACCTTAATGATTTCGGAGATCCGACATATCGGGAGCTGGACGTGCTTGAGGAATCCAAGAACCTTGGTTTCCTCCCAAAAGCCAGACTCGACAGCAGGGCGATGCCAGTGGGGCCTTAGTTTTCCGTTGAGCCACGTGGCTTGTTCCCGCCAGTCGAGCGTATGAGAGAACCGGCTTCAGTTCCGTTCTCCTATCCGACAAAGGGTATTATCGTGGAAGTCCCTCCTTTCGGAAGGTCTCGAGTTTCACAGGACACTGGTTATCGGAGTTCGTGTGGCCGTTTGAGGGTAACGCCCACTCTCTGTCACCGTCCAGTGACCCCGCGACCCAGAGGACTGGGGACGTTCTTGTGCCGGCAGGTATTCGCCTGACTGATTTTCCGACTGGACAGCCGGTTTAGGGAGTACATCTCTACTCCCTACCCGACGACCGTAATGTGGAAATTTAAACACCTTACTCGGTTCGGGGGACAGGGTAGTCATAGCACCATTTATCCTGTCCTACTCGGTATGTAACTATGCTCCGAGAATCTAGGAAGGAGGTGTGTGACGACCCTTAAAGTTGTGCGAGCGAGGACATTGTATGACACCACCTAGGAGGGAACGACGGGGACACTATCAGACTTATTGGAACAGTCTGTCCAGTGGGGCAGAGTCGGACAGGAGAGTCCTACGGAACATTTTCCCAACCGGGTCTCACCACATCTGGGCACCAAATACCAGTAAACACACATATAAAAGGGGTGGAAAGACACAGACACTACACAACAGACACTCACTTCTCCACCACCACGGGACATCAACTAATCAATGGGGAAGTCCGACTAACAGGTGGACTCCTCTCCCAACAATTCGCGTCTGCACGTCAGGACCGGCGAGAGAGGCTGAGCTGAAGATGAGGGTTGAGACGTGCACAAACTTAGAAAAGGACAACAGACACAATGACTGTAAATGGATAAGCAGGAAAGTGAAGACGACCCACTCTGACACCTTCTTTTCGACAAAGTTCGGACAGAAACATCTGTGTTAATAAAAATGAGTCCTCCCGGTTTTGGGAATCAACCCAATTAATCAAAAGAGGACAAATCTCACAATCTCATCCATTCTTCGATGCAAATAAAAACGAGTAACAAATCCATTTAGAAAACACAATTTCCATCAAGCAAAAACACCAACAACTCAAATGAGGGGACAACAATAAACACCATTCAATTTAATGTTTGGCACAAAGAAGACGGAACCGCCGTACAAGAACCGGTAGGCTCGCCCTGATAGGCCGGCTACGATTATACAACTTCAGTTTGTGAACGCTCGTGTATCATTGATGAGGGGAGTACCCATAGAGTTCAGTAGAGGGCTCCGCCTGTGCATATAGAACTAGGGTTACAATATGTAACCTCCCCGTTTCATCCACATCCAACCGTACTTATGTGCAGTAGAATATATATCTTTATAATCAATTTTTGCTACGATGTTTGTGAATGACGCAAAGGACTGTACTCACCCTCAGTGCTTTTATTCTGAGCTGTTGAAGTCATTACACTCAATCTGAGCACGGATATGATTGATTTTTACTGTATGAACAACAGCAGCACTGGGCTTGTTTGGCTCCAAGCATTTCATAAAAACTACCAAAACATCCACTTTATTCCTTACTCTGTGCTCCTGACTAATGTGTTATTGCATTTTCTCATGAAGACTTTCACTACGCCGAGAGACAGGGCAAAGCATAATGTGAACTTTTTCAACCCATTCGCTATGTTGCAGCAGAGAGGCTTCTTAATCGGTACCTGGAGTTACTTTGATTCTACTCCGGCTGCTGTTATATAAACAAAAAATAAAATGTTCATGAACATTATAGGAAGGGTGATCTATTGGGCCATGGAAGAACACTTTGCATTTTAGAGCGGATACAGAAATGTTTTACTTTCATTGGTGTTTTAATACGGTGTTGGTGTTCTCTCCAAAGTAGAAGTAAGTCAATATTGTAATAAAGAACAGTACTTCTCCACCACTTAGAGATGATTGTTCCTATTGGTGTTGCAATAGCATATTCTGTTAAAAAAAACAGTAGATGTTCAGATGGTTTTTTTTTGGCTTACTCATGAATTGCAGCAATCAACATGTTGTATATAACTGCTTGTTTTCTTCCTAGGGTTCAAGGAAGAAGTCCCATCTCGACTAGTTTCTTCTCACACAAAAATATGCATTTCCTAAGAGTCATATCAGAATGTTTACACGGCTCATTACTTGGAAGTGTTGAGGGGCAAGGAAGTAAAACAGAAAGAAGGCCCAAAGAGAACCTCCGATCATCCAAAATAAATCTAAACCTTGGTGAGTTCAGGTGAACTCTTATTCTCTCGCTAGCTTCCAGCAGCTGTCGATTTGGCTCATCTGTATTACAAGAATGAAAAGCTCATTTGGCTACAGCAGCTGTTTAGCTCAAACTTGTAGTTAGATCAAACCTTGTAGTTAGATCAAACAAACTACCCCTGAATTCATTTGTGAATCGCACCAAGGAGGAAAACCAACCTGATGGTTTGAAATTTCTTTAAAACATATTCGTAAGGAGACTGAAAGTTAAACAGAAGTTAGTGAAACAATCCATTGAATAGCTTCCCATCAAATCCTGTACTACCTCAGTAGATGGAGTTGTCCCAGTTGTCCTACTTTGAAAGTGCGATTTAAAAAAAATATCTGAATAAACTGTGTCATATACCCAAATCCCATTGGTGTATTTGGTGCAGTAAAACCTGTCCCTCCTAGTTTTCCTTTCTCTACCACAGAGGTATTTGTCTTTGATTGATGTGTGCTTTTTCCCGTCATTTCTCCTGGGGTTGTGGAGCTATTACGAGTAACATCAGTAGTCTCAGAATGCCAACATCATTTACGTCTAATGAGATAAAGAAGCTTTTGTTTAGTTGTTAGCAGCAGGTTTTCCCTCTAGGCACTGTTGTAGTAAATAAACACTGTCTGTATGACGGTACCTGCAAACCATGACTCTGCCACAATATTGTAAACTAACCGTTGCAATTTATTTTTAATAAAGTACTGCAGAGATCCAGATCAGCAGTGTCTGCATATTACAATAACAATGCGGGAACAAATGCTTCAATTTCTTGAAAATGAAACAACACCTTACAGAATTTGTTAGAATAACTGAGAATGCTTTTGTTAACTTTTTGGATCAATAGACGTTCCCTCAGATATTTCAACAGAGTCAGTAAAGCACTTCGGCATTCACAAAAGGTGGTTGCTCTAAATGGTGGGTGATGGCTGAAGACTGGAGACAGGGCGGCTCATTAGTAGGAAGTTCAGTTCAGAGCAAATCTCATGAAAAAGGACTATTAGGGAGTGCTGAGGAAAGGATATGAGCCTTTGATACAGCCTCAACTCCCTTTACCTGAGTTAAAGGTTTCCTGCACTCACTGAATAACTTTTCACAGCCCATAGAGAAGAGATAAGTGGACTTAATCACCACAGAGTGATGTGCAAAGAGGTTGAAATACACTCTGAAGTGGACCATGGACTGGCCTTTTCAGAAAGTTCTGTGGTGAAATTGCACAGTTCATTTCTATGGAATTCTAAAAGGCTTTAACACAATCTAAAACTGCATAGTGAGAAAACTAACATCCTACTCTTTTTAAAGAGGGTGTGAGTGATGAATGCAAAGTGTTGAAATGTGGAAAGTTGCAACACTTCAATGAAACGTTTTTTAAGTTTTGCGGGAGCTTTTTAATGAAAAGGGGAACAAAATTAACATCATTCTCTTTTAGATTGAGTTTACTATTAGCAAAATGCTAATGGAGAATAACATTGCCCCCTCCCAAACTTGTACCCAGTGTCTTGGGCTTTTATTGTGAAAGGTCTTATGGCCTAGTATTCACTGCTTTCGTCAATGTTGTGGTCATAAATATAGAAACGCAGAAGTACATTTTGATGTGTCATCCAAACTCACAACATGATCAGTTTATGTCAAGCACCTTGTTCCAGCAAAATGAATCACGTTAAAAAAAAGCCATGTTATATCCACTTCTTGTGTGAAAGTACTCACTAGTAAAAAATGCACAACAATCTACTTCGGGGACAACCTACAAACCTACAAAAAAACAGTCGTCTGGTATTCTTATCTAGAGGACTTCTGAGATACTTGTTCTAATAGCCTGGTCCTCTCTAATCAAACTTTAAAAGCTATGAACTGATAAAATGATTTAAATGTGCCTCAGGTGATGTGAGACATGGAGGATGTCAATCACTGCGTTCCAATAGAGCAAAGTTCAGGGAGCGGTCACTGCATCACGGCTAAGGGAAATCCTCAGCTGTGTGTCTGTGTGTGTCTGTGTGGTAAAGCAATGTATTTATGAGTGTCTCCAACTATACCTCTGTGTGCCTGGCTGGTAAGAAGAACACATTTTCCGGTCCGCTTGTTCACCGGCTTCCTTCAATTAAGGCAGGGGTCGGTGAGAGGGCTCCACTCTGACATAAATTCTGACCAAGCGGGCAGGAGGCCACTGCCGCACCCGGGAGCAACTTATCTTGTTTGCGTGTGCCTGAGTGTGTGACTGTGGTGTCTACGTGTGGGTTGGACGACAAGTTTGCTGATGATGATTTATCGGATACAGCTTAGAGCTTGTGATACAAGTTTGAGATGTAGCTTCTATGCCATCAGAGGACCCGAGAGGAAAACACTTTTATTTGTATATGCAATGTACACATTTAACAAGCTGTAAACTACTTGAATCTAAAGATATTGCATTACATCAAAATATACCATAAACACCTAGAAACTAGGGTTGTTAAAAATTGATATAGGGGATATATTTCTGCCTCGCTGATTAAGAGGTGTGTAAATCTAAAAATCATTATCTAAAATGAGGTAGACAGTAACAACTTGTAAATAAGCCACCCAAAGGTCAGCAGTACAAAACTTATTTGCTATTGTAATGGAAACTAGAGTTTGATTTGGCGATTTGTCTTATTTTCCACAAATCCCATGAAAGTACCAAAACAAAAAAACAACTAACTTATCCCACTAACAAGAATTTCCAGTGGAAACCCAAGCCTGATTCTTCTTTTTCTGAGCTTTTTACTTCCATTGTCCAAAAACAAATCAATGAGCCACACACTGTTGCACTGGGCCACATGCTCCTTCACTGCCATGAACAAGGCCACTGTAGTTTTAGTTGATCCCACACACACACACTATCCTGCTGCCCTCAATACCCATTACCCAGTAGATAATAGTCCCCAATAAATATATTATTTGCTACTTTTTGAGTAAAGGTTTTCTAAAACTACAGTGACAAACATTTTTTCGAAAAACTGTTGTATTTTTACCTAAGCTTTTCACTACCAAGGGCCATGCTATGAAGGTAGATATGGTGCAAAATGCGAAAGCGTGTAAAACCTGATGTGAGCACTTGTGTGCATACATTTACACTTGTATAAAATATCCACGTAACTGTGAACCAAATGTACACTTGTATAAAATATCCACGTAACTGTGAACCAAATTTGAAGTCACAGAAGAAAAAAAAAAGTTTTGTAGCTTGTAGAAAAAAAATGAACTTAGTGATGAAATATTCACTTGCAGAAAAATATTACAAGTTACAGTTACAACTGCAACTTGGTTATTACAATCTCTCAAATCAGTCATTACAACTTGAAGAATCTGCTCTGTGGCAGTATAAATCGACGAATCTGCGGTCTTGACTTTTGCTACACTTCTTGCGATAAATGTGTCGCAAAAGTAATTTTCACCTGTAGATCAGCTGTAGATGTGGGGTGAGGGAGGGGGGTTGGAGCGAAGGGGCGGAGCTATCAAAACGACGAGGCTTGACTGCGGGGCTAACGGCCCGTCCACACACAGGCATGAAAACAATCTTTCAAAGCTTCGCCCATTCACTTGAATGGGGTGACGTAGAAGATTTTTAATCTTCGCCGAACTGCATTGTGGGGAGCGGAGCATGGCTTTGCAAGTATCGTGAGCATCAAAAGTTGAGCAATGTTCAACTTTTGATGCTTCCAATTTTTGCGAAGCCAATCAAATCCCGTTTATACAAATCCCGCCAGTGCAAGCGCTAGCCAATCAAACCGCGTGTACTGTATGCAGATACCGCTGCCGGTCTCTTTCCATATTGTCATAAAATGNAATCCCGATCCCCGATTTTTTTCCTCCCGATTCCGATCTTTTGAAAATCACGTGATCGGCTCCGATCACGTGACCGGATCGGGACATCTATACTCTGAACCCAGAAACACAACCAGAAGGATCTGAAAATCATGTTTTCTTTTTAAATAATCAATGTTATGATGAGATGAGAAGTTAATGTGTCATGTTATTAATGCTTATGGAAGTAAAAGATCAAAGCTTAAAAGTGTGATGGCTTATCAAAATGACTTTATTCTACACGTCTCATTTCTAGGTGCCATCAAAACTAAACATGTTTCCGAACCAGATTCAGTTTGAAAACCTTGAGTAAAGAATGTTGTTTTATGTATTTTCTTCCTTTTTAGGTGTTCAAGAATCTCCAGCTGTTCATGGAGAACAAGGAGAAGGATGATGACTTGTTTGATCGCCTGAATGTAAGCAAAACAACGTGTGAAAAGAAACTGTAAAAACTTCGCTGTATACATTTATTTTTGCCATTTGATTGCATATAGAAAAAGACGATAACCGTTGTTCTTGTGAGAATTAATAACTATAATTTCTTTAACGTTCCCCTCCAGACTTCTGTTTTGAACAAGCACCTTCAGGAGTTGATGGACGGACTGACCGCCAAGGTCTTCCGTACCTTCAACGCCTCCATCACCCTGCAGCAGCAGCTCGTGCAGCTCACCAGCGGTACGGCTCCACCTGCTCCCAGTTTCTCTGAAACCATGTGACTACTCTAGGAATCATTGTGCATCCAGTAAACTCCTTATCCTCTCTCTCTCTCTCTCTCTCTCCAGCTGATGAGAACCCCACGGCCAAGATCCTGTCCTACAACAGGGCCAACAGGGCCGTGGCCATCCTGTGTAACCATCAGAGGGCTCCACCAAAGACCTTCGAGAAGTCCATGCAGAACCTGCAGGCTAAGGTTAATATGAGTTATCTTTTTAATACTCTGAAAGACTAATCCTGAGATGGAGCTTAGTTTAGAATTGGGAGGGATGAAACCCTCTTTAATGGTCACACATGCAGAGCACACAGCGACATGTGTTCTCTGCATTTAACCCATCCTAGCACCAGGAGTCTAGTCTAGTACCAGGAGTCTTGTACCAGGAGTCTAGTCTAGCCTAGCACCAGGAGTCTAGCCTAGCACCAGGAGCAGTGGGTAGCTATTGTACAGCACCCGGGGAGCAATGGGAGTGAGGGGGGAAGAGGGGTGTCACCACGGCAGGGCAGGAGGTGAACTGGGACCTCTCCAAGTAGCAGTCCACACTCAGTGTTTCCCATACATTGATTTATTTGTGGCGAGTCACCACAAATAAATATCGTCCGCCACAAATGGATCTCATTTTATTTTGGTGGTCTAATGGATAGTGAGGTGGGCTGATGATCGGAAGGTTGCGAGTTCAAATCCCGCCTGGAACACCAATACTAGTGTGCCCTTGAGTAAGACACTCAGCCCTCAGTTACTCCAGGGAGAATGTCCCTGTGATTGGTCATTATAAGTCGCTTTGGAATTAGGCGTATGCTAAATTGTAAATGATATTTCTGGGAGAATAAACCCCACAGATCCTCAACTCCGGTGTGTCTCACTCATTAACAACGCAACACAGAGCAACAAGAACGTTGTCTACAGTAGCAATGAACTCGCATGTATTTTCTTATTTGAGGGGGGGGTGGATGCGTGGGCCACCCGAATAGGTTAAGGGGCCTTTGGCTTTTCTTGCCGGGGGGTGCGGTGCCCCCACAAATAGAATCAAATTCTGTGGGAAACACTGACACTCCATACTTTAGGTCTGGTCTGGGACTTGAACCGGCAACCCTACAGCTCCCAGTCCAAGCCCCTACTGACTGAGCCACTATTTCAAGTCCCAGACCAGACCTAAAGTATGGAGTGTCAGTGTTTCCCACAGNCGTTTATCTTTACCCATGGATGCACAATAACAACGGACCCATATCGTCTCACTGCCATCCCACGGAGCTGTAATAATGGATATATTGCACATGTTTGCTGTAATTCATCATTTGTAAAATATTATACTACATGGGCTGTATGATTAAATCTTGTACCGTAAATGTTGTATTAAATAAAGTTAATATTACCAACGTTAGATTAACGTCCCTGTAGCTTCTTATTGCACTAAGAAGCTTATTGCAAATGAAGCTCTGTTGCTTGGATATCACTAGATCCTGTTACAGCGTAATATAAGTACATAACGATTGATGTGCATATTAGCATAATTACTAGCGAGCTGCTAACTGCCGCCTCGTTAATATCAAATCCATTATAAAAACAAGCCATTACCATGCTGTCATGAACGTGCGGTGCTGTTACGTGTACGCAAATTGACGTGCTTGATGTGAGCGAGCATTTTGGTTAAAGTTGCGCATGCGCTATGAGTGCACATACGGGTACTTCTCAGGCATGCCGGGTAATCTGTGACGTTTCGCTCTCTAAAAAATGTTATATCATCATGCGCCAATGAGCAGCTCTCATAGGAATGAATGAGGCCCCGCCTCCCATGCTGAATCCAGTTCTTATTATACATCCATGACAGGGATGCGTTCAGATTTAGTCAGTAATTTGAGGAACTGTCGAAATGGCGATCGCAGATAAAGTTGAGCTCGAAAATCCTCCAGCATCATTGAAGTCTCCGGTTTGGGAACATTTTGGTTTTGCAGTTATGTAAAAGGATGACGGACAAAGACAGGTCGACCGAACCAAAGCTGTTTGTCGGCATTGTTCAACTAAAATTGGTTATGCGGCTGGCAATACATCAAACTTGCACACTCATTTGAAAAGGCATCACCCGAACGTGAATATCACCGGTACCAAAAGAAAGTGCAAACCCAACTCCCGCTAACATTTAAGCCTCCACCATTCGCAGTTTAGACCGAGGCAAAGCTATTCCAAACGCCAAATATCCTTATGTTGCCATGTTAGCAAAGCGCTACCTGGCTGTATCTGCTACCTCTGTCCCTAGCGAGAGGGTGTTCTCCACAGCAGGAGACATTGTTAGTGCCAGCAGATCTGCCCTTTCGTTTAAAAAAAACATGAAAATATAATGACAAGCAAGTCATAATGTCAAACTGGCTGCTTAGGTACTAGTACAGTACAGTTCAAATACAGATTATTTCAGTTCATCGAAATGCTGCACCTTAATGTTTATTTTATTATGTTTTGTATTTATTTGAGTGAATATTCACAGTTTAATAATAATTAAAAACCCAAAACTAATAGTTTATGTTTTGTGAGTACTAGTAGTAAAGTTCAAATACAGATTATTTCAGTTCATCGAAATGCTGCACCTTAATGTTTATTTTATTATATTTTGTATTTATTTGAGTGAATACATTATTCACAGTTTAATAATATTAAAAAAAATATATATATATTTTATTTTTTCTGCTGTACCGAAAACGTACCGAACCATTAACATTTCCTGAGGATATTCATGGTCCCCAGGAGATGATTCCTTTAGTGATAATGCCTAGATAAATATTTCGACCGTCAGGAAAACCTGACACTTTTATTGATGTGACATTGAGTTTCTCATATTCATAATTAAAATCATAGGTCTGGTTTTGATTCATTGAACACCCAGGGGAAACACCTTTTTTTGTTAGGAAATATTAATTCAAACTAAATCAAAATACCATAACAACCGACTGATCTAACAATATAATATATGATAGAAACAAGCACAGAGTATGTCTATTCTTGATATCTTATCATCCACAAAAAGAATGCACTGTTCTGATGTCTACACATGGATACACATTTAGCACCACTTTTGTTTAGCATGTCAAAGTTAGTGTCTGCTTTCTCAACAAACCTTGTTGATTGCATATTTAGACTCACAGGCTTTAATTTAGTGTATCCTTAGCTAGCATGAATAGGCCATAAAAGCACTAATCCTTCCTTCCTTCCTTTTGCTACAAACGCCTCCCCAGCACAATCACATATTATTCATATCCACCACTGCGACAAGAAAACCTTCAAAAATGGCCAAAGGCATTTCAGTGCATCTATTTTTAATGGGGAGAGATCCATTGTCTGTGATGCTCATATTGGACTTCTGATGTGGGATAATGTCGTGAACTCTGCATTTGTCAGAGTCCTCTTCTATCTCTCCGTTCGCCCACTTTGGGGGGAGCATGCTGTTTTCATTTACCTTCCATGTCTAAAAGAGCATATCAGTAGTCTTTCAAATGCAAATGACAAAATAGCTGAAAAACTCAGTGTTGTTCATGCATGTCTGATTATGCTGAACAAGCACAAGATGCAGCAGAATTCACAAATAGAAGAAAGAACCAAGAGTGATGGGAAGAGGCATTTCATGTTGTTCATGTAACTGAGGCTTTGGCATCTTGAATATATCGAACATAACCAAATTGGTGAGTTTTTATTTTTTAAATGAATTCAAACTGCAAGAAGTAGAGTTCCCAGAATCTTCCATCAATGCGTCCTTCATTCTGTATATTAAGCTTGAAGCTAAAGGATGTTTAAACCTTTGTTGAAATGACCCTGAGAGCTCAATGTAGTGCAACCAGAAAAAACAGATGCATAAAGACCCAACAAAATAAAATTACTAAAACTTCTTCAAGAATTTGACAACAGGTGCATTATTCATAAAAAAACCTGTGGCAGATTTACCAAACCAAATATAGATTGCAAAAAACAATACATGCAAAAAAACTAAAATAAAGGGTAAAACTGTTTTATTTAATTCATTTATTAACAATGAGCTCATGATATTTTGCGTTTCTTTTATCTTTTTATAATCTATAATAAAAAACAGAGCATTAAACAAACCATCATGCTCTTACTTTGAAATCATGCGGAAATGTCGTCATCAGCAGGCCATCACGTGGTTTCCGAAAATAACCGAGTGACACAAGTAGATTTTAGCGGAGACCGGTGGAAAATATGTCTCAAAATTCCGTGTGTGTAAAAAGACGATCCACGAGAATTGAGATCCGCAAGCGCATTTTTGGTCGACAAATACAAAATGGATTTACAAATGCCTGATCGAAATTTGTAAATGTCAAAGAGATATTCACAGATCTTTTTTTTATTTGAGAAACTATTTAGCGTATTTGCAGATCCGTTTTACACTTGCAAATGTATTTGTGAGTTTGCAAATCTTTTAAATGCATTTGTGGATGGTGTTTTACATTTACAAATCACATATTTACACACAAATTAGTTTTATGTTCACACAAATAATTATGAGACATATCTATGCCCATAAGTTCCCAGTAAACAACAGGAAACACAATTTTTTACTTTTCTGGCAGTGATGGGCCGTCAGGGCCAGCAAGGCCTTTTCTGCTGGCCTAAACTACGGTATATCAGAATCCATGACTAATGTTTAAAAGATCCTTTTCATTTCCTCGCTCCTCGGTCTCACTGGAAGTTGATTTGACTACGCCATCTTGAGTAGCGTCCCAGTGGCCTTATTTGTGCCGCAGGACCGAGGATCGAGGAGCGATAACGGAGGAGCGATAATCGAGGAACTACCAGATCATCCTCCGGTGAAATCCTCAGACACTCGCCCTGCCCCCTTACTGTGTATCGATCAATTATTGGACGCTGCAGCGCATGCACTGATCTGTTGTTTCTTGACATGAGAGCAGTTTACCAGCGGAGTGAAAATAACCAACTCATTCTCACGGCATTTCGTGTAATAGTCACAACATTTAATCTATTGATTTGTGTTCACCAACACGATTTTCCCCTTTTTTTCGTGTCACACAGAAAGATTTTAAAAGCAATGTATTTCTATTGTTTCGTGCCTGCAGCACGTCGTTTTGTCCGTTCGGGTCTCGGAAGACCGGAAGCTGTGGGGTTCATAAAAACATGTTCTTTCTCAATATCAAGCCACGATTATTGTTTTTATTTTAAATCATATAATGTCGGACTTTTGTTGTCGTCTGTGAGGAAAATAAATGGGGCTCAGAGCCTCAAAATACTGAAAT